ATGTTATGCCAATCAGTTGAGATCATCATATGGTCCCTTCTGACCCTTCAATCCTGTGCGTAGTAAGACACTTTGGTGCGGGTATCAGAGAGGGAAGAAACACACTGACAGATTCTTCAGCTCTGTAAAAAACTTGGGACCCTATAGAGGTACCTGTTCTGCTCATTGTGCTATAACTAATGGGTAAATACAGAATAAAGAAAGATAAAATAACATATTCAGCTTCATGTGCACACAGTCAGAACTCCCATTATAATTTTACAATTAAGTATGCTGTGCTATGCCTAGTCTTGTGCTTAACTAACTGGTAGAGTAGCCCAGTTTTCTGAACTGAACATTACAATGTAGAGCATGTTTCAGGGGTGTAGGTTGCAGCTGTGTTGGTCTAAATGACAGTGGCAAACAAGGTTCTTTGGGTAAATCCAATATCTTTTATTATTTCAGTTAGTCTAATAAAAGATACTGGATTTACCTGAAGAACCTTGTCTGCCAAAGTGTAGAACAAACAATGAAGGATCCTCATGTGCATCTTATAAATGTCTCTAAATGTAATAATTGCACCTGCCACCCTGTCTGAGGAGGGCTTGTCAAGTCAAATGAACCTGGGTTGAAACACATAGGCTAAAAGTAACCATCCAGCTCCGGGGGAAGAATGTGATAGATCATGCAAACTGTAGGTGTTGGTAATCAGCTCTTGAACAAATGGCTTATAAGCCTAGATGATTGGCTCTGCAACAGATTCCATTACAGACCCTAAACAGCTATGCCTGGCACAGCTGAACACAATGAACACGGTGCCTTGGAACATGGAGCTATGTGAGTTATAAAGCATGCCAGCATATCTGCTGTTGCCTCATAGCTAGAGCCAGGACTAAAAAGCCTGATTTAAAGCATATTGAAGTCAATGGGCAAACCAAAACATGTAGGCACAAAATGTGCCAGGTCTGATCCTTGATGCTCATACAGTAAAGTAAAAGAGAAGTAAAGAGGGCAGAGACAGTTCTCTAATAGTACTACCTATACCAGAGGCGGGCAATTATTTTGGGTGGAGGGCTGCTTACTGAGTTTTGCCAAGCCATCGAGGACCACATGACAGGCAGCCCAGGACAGATAAATATTAATTTTCTAAATTTTGGGGGGGCCCCGCAGGCTGGATAGAATGGCCTGGTGGGTCGCATCTGGCCTGTGGGCTGCATTTTGTCCATGCCTGACGTATACAGTGAGTACATAGTGCTAAAGTAAAGGCTCTAAAATAATCCTTTTCCAAATGCTAGTGAGGTAGGTGTTTCAGAAGCAAAGATGCAGCACACTGCAGTGTATATAGCCTCTGTTTCTTCTATTGTTCAAATATATAGAGAGATCTGTGCAGGCCTGTGCCACTCAGAGTTAACGGCTCCTTTGACCCCTCATATGAAACCTGCCTGAAGTTCAGACAAGAAGTAATTGAGGACCAAGTTTGCTAATTCACAGGCATAAATCATCAGACAAAATAAATACATACACACATACCTAATGAAACTATCGGGCTGAAAGATTCAAAAGGAGAGTGAATAGCAAAACAAGGTATACAATCGTTGCCAAACACAATACATCAAATATCTGTTTACATGCCAGGTTTTTCAGAGATAATAATAACAAAGGTAAAATAATACAATGTGTCCTTTGGGATACTGTCTTTCTGAGAGGATATCACCAATATAATTACCAGCCACAAAATATGAGGCACAGACTAGTAGCATAACATGAAAAATGCCAAAAGTAAAAAGGCCAGAACTTCAGTTCTAAGTATTTTATGTGAAAAATAAGGAGCATAACTCAGGGAGAAATGAGGTAGAAAAAAAACAGCCTTGCCATCTATTACAGCAAGGCTTTGTTTCGGGGATGATAAATAATAAAATCTAGCACTTATATTGAATTGTAAATGTTCAAACTTTGTAGAAACAGTATAGAAAGACTCAAAATACTTGTTTTCCAAAAGTTTTAACATGGACAGAGAAATATACAGGCAATAGCTGTATTAGTTTTATTTCTGATTAAAATGCTGGTGGTCATATAGAAGAAGGCTGCTTCTGCTATCTCTACCTCTTAATTTTAGTTGTATGTCTTTTACTATATGAGTATCTTTTTTGTACTTGTTTCTATTTTGAAAGAAAGACGAGAAAATTACTTTCATTTTCACCATCTTCTCCACTGGTGATTTGCAAAATGATTGAATTTTTGCTTGTCTGTATTTGAATTAATAGGGGAACAGTAGTTTATATCCCATGGCTTCTATTTCCAGGTTGCAGTTATTAATTCTATGGGCCAAATTCTCTGCTGATATGAATAAGCTGCTCTCAGCAATGGAGAATACATTTAGTCTGACTGTGTTTTGTGAACTTCTTTCTACTCTGGCTCAGACAAATGGCACTGTAATTTAATATAAATTTCATTTGCCAACTTCAAAGCTTAACTAAGTAATTAGTATAAGCATAATTATACTTTGGATCCACTGACTGAAAATGTCTTAGTCTCCCACTTCTCAAACTTTACTTGTTCAGTGATAAAATCTACAATGCTTTTATCTTGCTGAATATGGATAGTAAGCAAAAGTCAAAATTACATTGCTCAAAGATTTGCAACGCACATACTTTTGTGATTTTACTATTTATCATTTCCCGTTTGTCCTTTTCAGAACTTTGCTTAAACTAGAGCATTACAGTAGAATTACTTTTCTTTGTACCTATATAATTAAAATGTTTTTAAATGTTGCTTGTATGCCTTTACAACTGATGAACTGAGCTACCTCACAAAAGTTTGTGATATATATATCTACTTAGCTTAGCCTATAAAGTACAAATCTACCTTGCCTTCTCCTTTAGATCTGAACATATTCCATTTCTGGATAGCTTCCTAAATCTTAAAAAGTTGCAAAAGTAGTAATTGCCACTTGGATGAAAACTATGGAAGAAAGAACAACTGCCATACTTGACTTCATGGTCACCACTTACACTACATACAGTGGCCACAGCTTTCCTACTTGTCAGGACCTTTCATTTTAATACCACAAGATCATCAGCAACAGAGGTGCAAGAAAAATCTGCAGCATAATGTTTTCTATTTTTACAGTCTTCTTGGGGCCACCCAGTAGAGGGCAACATAATCACAAATACTCGAGCAGGCCTTCATCTTTTCCATTTTTAAGACAGCGGTGACTCATCCATGCTGGCCAGGACATCATAACACCCTGTTAAGTACAGCATAAGGACACAATTGTTTAATTCCTTAATTAATTATAGTCATGTGGAAAATTATATATTAGAATGGAATATGGTTCCCTTACAAGAAGTCCCAAAAAGACAATAAAAATGGGTAAAGCTGAAAGTATTTTCAGCTAAGCAGATTCTAAAACTCATAGCAGTAAATCTTAACCAGAATAACCCCCTTCCTGCTCCTCCCCAGATCCTTTGAAGGGTGTTGCCAGGTGTGAGCAGATAAGCTGAGCAGAAGAGTGCAAGACTAGGCCCTGCCAGACCATTCTTCCACCCCCACTGCCCAGCCCCCCTGTCAGAGGGTAAGTGCTGCAAATTAATTCTTGAAATTGGGTGCCACTTAATTCACAAAAATCCTAGAGGGTGCTTTGAGTCCTATGTGATGTGCCTCCAATCCAAAAACGTTAAGAACCTCTAGATACATCTACACATGCATTAACACACTTTAATGTGCATTAAATCTAGTATCTCTATTGTGACGTGCTAGGAAAATGCTTATTAGCTTGTCTTAATGTGCATGAACTAAAGAGCACGGTTTTTAAGTGACACTTAATTCACCTTAGCCTATTTTAATGTACATTAACTAAAAAGAACAGGTATTTTTACATGTGTAAGCACCACAGTGCTGGGCGTTTTGAAAAGCACCTGGTGCTGTGTTGCTTGCAGTTTTATAAGTGGCAAAATGCATGTCAGTACTGAGAAAATGGCGGTGCCATGCTTTTGAACTAAAAAAATAGAAGGTGTTTTAGTTCAGAAGTGCACTGCCACCATTTTCTCCATGCTGACTTGCATTTCGCTGCATATACAACTGCACGCAGCATGGCACAGTTCACATCAGCTCATGTATGGAGCAGACTCGATTAATCAACTCTGCTCTGAAGCGGCAGATCTCCGGTGCATCATGGGACAAAAAGATATGTGCATAAATGCTCAATGTTTTACAGATGCTTTAATGTGCATTAAAATAGGCTAATGTGCATTAAGGTGCATGTGTAGACGCACACACTGATTTATAGTGTTGGATGAACGTGTTGATCTTACAATCCTTTACAAATCTTGCTGTATCCTGGAAGGGTTCTAGCTGAGGAATCATTACCTGTATGCCGCACCTGAGGAACCATGTCTGTGACTGGTAGCAATAGCAGCCTAGCCTTTAAATAAAAATGAGATCCTGAAAACCCAAATCTGTGCAGAGGATTTGGGGCAGAATAACCTGTGCAGAATTGTGGGGCCCAAGTGCGAAGGTGCAATCAAAAGAGGCTCAGGCCACGGGGCTGGGTGTTAGGCTAATGATACGTCTCTGCAGGGGGCACCTGGCCTGATGTCCCAAGGAGACACACGGGAACTTTGCGGGGGAGATAGGGACGGAAGCCGAGAGGGGGGAAGTCCACCTCACGATGCAGGGAGGTGACAAATGCAGCCTTTAACCCTCAGGCCTGTTAGCTAAAAACACCCCCTTGCATAGTGGTGGGAGACAAACTACAGTTCCCCCTGCGGCAGGAAGAAGAGTCCAAAAACAAAAACAAAAACCCTTAAAAAAAATAAATAAAGACGCGCCTGTCCCTTTAAGAGCGCCCCCTACCATGTTGCACCAGGACTTCACGTGCTGCGTCCACCTAACCTGCTGCTTCCCCAGTGACCCCCGGGGCTGAGCTTCCCGCGGTCGAGATTCGCTGGCGTCGCACAGCGTGGGCCGCTTGATTGGTCGCTCGGCGCCTCGGCACCCTCCCCCCCCCGGCAGCTAGCACGTTACGTTGACACGCTGGTGGCTAGTTCCTGGACTAGGCCTTAGTAGGGGGGAGGGGTCGCGGGCCAGTAACTGCCCCGGGAGCGCGGGCGGGCGGGCGGCGATGGTGTCCGCCGTGTAGAGGCGCCGGCGGAGCAGCGAGGCCGCCATGATCATAGAGAACGTGGACGCCCTCAAGTCCTGGCTGGCCAAGTTGCTGGAGCCGATGTGAGTGCGGGGCTAGGGGCGGGGAGGCCGCGGCAGGTGCGGCCGTGTCCCTAACCCCAACCCCCGGCCTGGGGGCTGTCGGGATCCCTGTGCGGGGGGGAGAGGTGCCCGTTGTCGCTGCCGCCGGCCCCGGGGGGAGAGTTGCAGGGGTTTGGCCCTTTCGCGTCCACACGTGGCACGGGACCCACCCCGAGCCCCCCCGCAGCAGCAGTGCGACCACGGGCGGATGGGAGAGGATGTCTAAAATGGCAGCGAGAGCTTGGGGGTAGCGGGGGGGAGAAGCAAATTTGGTGCATGGCAAGCTGCGGAGACCCCCCCTTTCCCCTCCCCCCACACGAAGAACTTGAAGAACCCCCTTCTCGTTACCAGTGCACCCAAAACCGACCAGTAACAGTCCCTAAATGTCTTGCCTGTAGCAGGCTCCTTTTGAAGGCAGGTCACTTTTTTTGTGGTGTCCCCCCCCCCCCTTTTGTTGTTCATATTTCACCGGCGCAGAATAAAAACCGAGGTCAACGTGCTGCCGTGGAGCTGTGGGTGTTTGAAACAGCTGTTTCGCTCGTTTTCACTGCAGTCAAACAAGTTGCAGACTTTCACAAGCGTGGTCTGCTGAGGTGGTTCTGCTGGGAAAGCGGGTGCAGGCCGGTATCGGGGCGCACTGGGGAGTCATGGGGTTTTGCCAGCCACCCACCCACCATGTATTTGTTTGGGGTTTTTTAAGATGATGCTGATATTAACCCCCGCTTGTGCTGTAGTATTATTAGAGGTTTGAAACTAAACGTAGAAGATTAAAGAAAAGGCAGTGTCTGAAACATGGCTCTGTTGCCTGTTACTAATACGTGTGGTAAGAAACATCACTCACTACCTGGATGCTTTTGCAGTTAGTATTGTCTGGCTTCCTTAGGGAAATTGTTTAGACCAAAACTCTGAACTGCTCTAATTAAGAGGCAGTAAAAGTTTATGCTTTTATTTAAAAGTAGGAAACCATTCTGTTGCATTATTTTTTTCTTGAAGAAAGTTCTAATAAAATTGAAGTGCCGCAACTCTGTTTTGTCATTCAAAAAAAACAAAGCAGAACAAACAGGAATCCTAATGTCAATCGGGCATCATTACTCTCCATCACTTTTGCAGGATCATCTCTAGTCTTTGCTGATTCTAGTCAGCCTTTTATCCCAGACAGCAATCCTTTCAATGAATTTGAGTTGAAGGCCAGGTGTTTTAGGAAGTTTTCAAGTTGCCTGGCAGTAGTGATTGTGTGTTTGACATTACCATGGAGGGAGAGTGTGGTAGAAATCATTTTAGTGATGTAAGTACTTTATGAAAGTTCCTGTGATGTAATGTAGATATGAACGAATGTTCCCAAGGGTCAGTCTGAGAGAGATTGAATCGGGGAGGTAAGCGGGGAAGCCAAGGATAAAGCAAAATACATGTGTTATAGAAGGATGGAACGATTTTTTTTCTGCCACTCATGAGCCTTTATAGCCTTAAATTGCACATGGAGCTATCAGATTATTGCTGGATTTTTGTATATACACTTGAAATATTTAAAAAAAAACAAAAAACTTTTTGATGTGGCCCTTGTCAGACTTTGGAAATAAGTGAGCATATGTAGCTGGTTTCGCATTTCAGTATGAATGTTGGTACTTTTCAGCACATCAATACAAACACACTTTACATTTTCAAGTATTTTGAGGCCCCTCTGCCTTCTGTAGTTTCTGACATCCTCAGGAGTTGGTGCTCTTAAAGACATATGCATGTTGATATTCATGGGTCCAGTGAGATTGGAGAAACAGTGAGGTTATTTGGTAGTAGTCTGTACGAGCTGTTCACCTTGATTAAAAAATTACCCTTGTAAATTATACTGGAGGCCGTAGGAATACTTTTAGCATTAGTAAAGCAGGTCCTGACTTCTGAACATTTTGGAGTAACTGAACAGTGAATGATAAACAAGGTTTCTTTGGCAATATTTCAGTCTCACATTAGCTAATAGTAGCACAGCATTCTTGTGCACAGGGAGGCTGTATGTCTAGCCAGACAAGTGATGTTGAACTGTGAATGTGATGTTACCTGTGCCAATAAAGGAACTTATAGAGTTGCCTTTTGCCTTTTCTTTTACCATCAGAAATCACAGTGGAACAAAAGAGAGGCTTGTGTATTGGCTTAATTCTTTTCATATGTGCATCTTTGTGGAAAAATCAACTTGATAAATAATGCATGTGATACTTACCTTTTCCAATCTCTTCTTGATGAAATTGAGGAAACTATTCAGGTGGAAACATAGAGTAATAAGTCCACCATGATCAGCCACTTCTTCCTTGTAGCTTCTGTCACTGATGTTGGATAATAGTTACTTGCCGGTGCTGTGGTGAGAGAGAATTAATCATAAATGATAATTTCTGCTTACTGACCTAAGAATAAACATGAAGGGGAAAAGTTTTTCGGATGTGGATGGGAAAGAGAGGAGGGGCACAAGAAAACTGACAGTTTGTGGTAATGGACAGAAACTTTCCTGCAGTGCCAAAGCCAGGTATAGCTGTGTATTTTACTGGATAGCAGAACATTAAAAGGAGAAAACTATATGCATCACTGATGTCAGGACCACTAGTTTTGGTTATTCTAAATTATACTTCTAATGTTTCATGACATGAATGGGATCAAGCTGTATGCCACTAGGAATAATTCTTCCTACCTACCCACCCCCCCCACCTCTTCTTTTTAGATGTGATGCAGACCCTTCGGCCTTGGCTAACTACGTTGTGGCATTAGTCAAGAAAGACAAACCAGAGAAGGAGCTGAAAGCTTTCTGTGCTGATCAGCTAGATGTCTTTCTGCAAAAAGGTACTCCACTGCCAACTTTGACTACGTGGTTTAAAATTAAAAATAATAAAATTGAAACTTGAACGTGCATTATTTTGACACGAGCATGATTGGGAATGAAATTGTTTAAGGGTGAGGAACAGTTATACTGCAAGATTGTGGTTTTGAAAGGACTGTAAAATTGTAATTTTGGGGCCTACACTTTCCTTCCATGGAAGATAACTGTTGCATCTGTAGTGAGGCTAAGCATTTCATACCTGGAAGTGTTTCAGATCAGTAATATTGTTTCTCTGTCCCAAGTAGTTGCACATTTAAAGAAATAAACAAAAAACCCAAAACCCTCCAGTTGAGGATAATTCTGTAAGACTAAAGCAAGCAATTTCCTTGAACAGTGGCCAGACACTTCTCAGTGGGACCTGTCAAATGTTGAGCACTCTTCCAAATTCCTAGTCCTGTTTAGAACTCAATGGGAACTGTATTCCCACTTAAGTCTGGACCCAATAATATTGGGTACCAACTGCTGAGCACTTGAAATTCAGACCCGTGGTGGCCAAATTAGTGTGTATATCAGGGTGCGTTTATTCTCAAATGCAAGTCTATTGAAGCCAAAGAAGTCCGTCCCTTCCAGATGTTTGGAGGCTTTCACATATTTGCTCAACACCAGTTGATCAACCAGATAGAAATTCTTCCATAAGGAATTGAGACTTGAGAACTTTCAGAAAAGCCCATTTTTTTTTCTGTACTTCATTAAATCCTCATCCCTCTAGCATATGACCACATGCCATGTGGGACTGGAGAGTGGTGTTCTTGGCCCAATTTAACTTCAGGTTTGGGCAGTTATGCCAAGTTTGAAATTGTCCACAAGTATAGATACAGGTATCTGTAAATAACAAGTAGCTAATGTGGTTAAATTCAACTAGTCTTTGAATATTGATTGAAAGGTTGTCTCTAAAGAAGTCAGGGTAGGCATTGCCTGTAAGAAATGCTTCATGATTTTTTTTCTTTTGGTAAGAGGGGCTGTTGTATCTCCTTTTTCGGGGGAGGTGTATTCAGGGAGCAGGAACTGAAATACTGTTTAGAAATTTTGCATTGTCTACACTCCTGGCTTTCAGCCAGTTCAATGGCAAGCCAAGTTTTCTTATGCTAACAATCGCAGAAGCTGCAATGTAAAAAGGGCACTGGTGTTTTGATTGTTGTTTCCTAGGCCTGCTTTCAATACCTTTTAGATAATATAATAATTAACATGTCTGTTGTCTACATGACCGCTTCCACCAGTGAAAGTAGACCAGTGGTTCCCCACCTCATTAGGCTCAAGACACCTCAGAAAATGTCAGCTCTTAGTTTCTGCTTTTTGTTTTTGTTTTTGTTTTTCACTACGGAAAAATAATAGAGCAATTCTTCTGTTGCAAAGAACTTTAGAAAGACCACAAAGATCAGAATGTTTTTTTCATACTATGAGTTCCTATTTGAAATCACTGGGTATATCTTTGTGAATTATGTTTAGGTGCCTGCACACCTAGCAGTACTAATATTGTACAACACCCTGTGACACCCTAGAGGATCTTATGACACTCCAGGGTGTTGTGGCCTCCTGGTTGAGAACCACTGCTGCAGACAACAAAAATGCCTAATATGCCAGGCAAGCCCATTAAAAGACCCCAAAGAATCCATCAGTGAAAGCTGAGTGATCCTGCAAAGATTGTTACTTGTTTTCAAAATATAAGTTAATTTATCATACTGTATGCAATGTTTTATGATTACTGTGTAAACTCCTGCTAAAACGTATAGATAACTAACTGACTGCAGGTTAAGGAGGTGCATTGTAGCTTGACTACAGGAGCATAGCTTAAGCAAAAATCAGTGAAATTAAAACTTCAGAGCCATTGAAATATTTGCTTAAACTTTCTGTTGCTAGTTAGATGCCAAAAAAAACCTTTGCTTTTAGCAGACTGGGCATGTCATTTCCAGGTTCAAGTGCTTAGTAGTAGCTGAAAAACAGTACCAATCCTCATTTGGGATCTGATGTGAAGTTGGCCTTACTTTCTATTGTGGATGTGTCCACTTCATAAAAATCACCATGGTTATATCAGTCTAAGTAGAAGCCAAAAACAGAAAATGCCTTTGAAAACAGCTGTGTACTCCATCCTAGAAATGTTTCCTTCACAATAAGTGGGGTATGTTGGCAGGGCATTGTGAAGGTGTTCACAATACAGCTATTTTTGTTCCATCTTTTTTAGGGTACCTTAGTTTTCAGTGTTGTAATTTCTAGCTCATTGAACCAGACCTTAAATTTAGGTGAATTTAAAAGAGTGTAAACAGAGTGTGTGGCTGGATTTCAGGGGGTGGTTTTATTAGCATACAGCTGATAATAGAAAAAGATGTATAACTTTTTGTGTGGGTTTTTCTTCTCAGAAACTTCAGGTTTTGTGGATAAACTCTTTGAAAGCCTGTATACAAAAAGCTACTTTCCTTCCCCTGAACCAGCAAAAGTAGAACTGAAGCCTGCAGGTCAGGAAAAAGAGGAAATCAAAGAGGAGGTAATACTAACTTTCCATATAAATGCTTCTTTTTGCTTCTCAATCTGGCCCCTCTGTATCTATCACTGTAAGATGCTATACAAACAAACTGCACTGAACAGAATAGTATTCTGTACTGTGTTCTCTACCCTGCAAGATTTCTCTGAAGGTTTAATGTTGTATTCATTTGGGTAAGCTATAAAAATAGATAACTAACCAACTACGGGTTAAGGGGGTGCATTGTAGCTTGACTGCTGGAGCATAACTTAAGCCAAAATCAGTTAAACTAAAACTTGAGAAACATTCAAATATTTGCTTAAACTTCCTGTTACTAGTTA